TCTAGATATCATAACCTTTTCGCTGGTGGAGAGTTGTTCAGAATTTTCTCACTACGTAGCGCTAGAATACATGTGAAATTCTCGCATGTGATATAACTCGAGATCATGACCAGATAGAAAGTTACTGTCGTCGACAAAGTTGTTGATGAGATCAAAGCCTATTTCTTGGTGCACAATAGTTCAAAATTTTCTCACTACGCGGCGCTAGTATACACCTGAAATTCTCATATAAAATATCTCGAGATTCTGACCAGATAGAAAGTTACTGTCTTCGGCAAAGTTTTTCAGTAAGTCAAGATCTTTTCGTGGGTGGAGTAGTTCAGAAAATTCTCACTACGTGGCGCTAGTATATACGTACAATTTTCACATATACAATACACATAGCTCGAGAACCTGACCAGATAGAAAGTTACTGGCTTCGGCAAACTTGTTCAGAGGGTCAAATATTTTTGGCTGGTGGATAGTAGTTCAGAATTTTCTTACTACGCGACGCTAGAACACACGTGAAATTCTCATATAAAATATCTCGAGATCCTGAGAAAGTTATTGTCTTAGGCAAAACTGTTCATCATAGCCTTTTTGCTGGCGAACTGTAGTTCAGAATCTTCTCACCAGGTAGTGCTCGTATACATGTTAAGTTCTCGCATGTGATACATCAATAGATCCTGACCAGATAGAGAGCAAATGTATTTGGCAAAGTTGTTCAGGAAGTCAAGATCTTTTCGTTGGTGGACAGTTGTTCAGAATTTTCTCACTACTTGGTGCTAGTAAACGTGTACAATTCTCGCGTATGCTATAGCTCGAGATTCTGAACAGGTAGAAAATTACTGTCTTGGAAAAAGTTGTTCACGAGGTCAATGTCTATTGCTTGGTGCACAATAGTTCAGATTTCTCACACTACGTCGCGTTAGTATACACGCGAAATTCTCGCATGTAAAATATCTCGAGATTCTGATCAGATAGATTTCGCTAGTGGACAGTAGTTCAAAATTTTCTCACTACGTAGCACTACATACTATGTGAAATTCTCGCATGTGGTTTGTTTCGAGATCCTGATCAGATAGAAAGTTTCTGTCTTCGACAAAGTTGTTCAGGGAGCCAAGGCCTTTTGGTTGGTGGACAGAAATTCAATTTTTTTCACATCATTGCACTTCTCGCATTGGATATGTTTCGAGACCTGCTAAACTGTCATCGGCAAAGTTGTCCACGAGATCAAAACTTTTTCGTTGGTCGACAGTACAGAATTTTATCACTACGCGGCGCTAGAATATACGTGAAATCATCGCATTTATAATATCTCGAGATCCTGAACAGCTAGAAATTTACTGTATTTGACAAAGCTGCTAAGGAGATAAAGATCTTTTGGCTGATGAACAGTAGTTCAGAAATTTCTCAAAACTTGGCGGGCAATTCTCGCATATCAAATATCATAAAATAAAACTACAATTTTACATCAGCCTAAGTGGGATAAGACAAATATATTCTGGATTTATTTTACTGGTGAAGATTTTCATGCAGATTTGTGGATACATAAATTGGGGTGAGTCATTTCACTTGTATACCTCTGATAAATTAGTGGTAGCACGAATCTCAGATGGAAAACATTATCTTAAAAGATCAATATCGCTGAAACTTCCACCAAATGAATGTTTTGAGTATCTCTTTCATTTAAGGCTAATTTCAAAATGTCTTATCGAGGGGTCTAGAACAAAACAAAGCCCCTGTATTTACGTGTGCACAGACAGCGAGACTAACTCAGAGAGTGAAGCACTTTTGCTCAGTTGAATGGAGAAATTATTAAAACCGTACACTCCCGATCATAAGTTTAAGGACACGCCCTTAAACGTCAAATTTTCGTTCTTTTTAGAACATTTTAAAGATTTAGAATGGAAATACGAAGAGGCAAATCGCTCAATATCATTTTCAAATTTTGTATACCAAAGGTTCACCCAAAGTTACACTATTTTTCAAAATTTATTCTGAAGAATGATGATTGATTTTCTCAGAATTGACTTGGACAAAAAATTTAAAATAAAAGCAGTAGTAGAACTCTTATGCTATACCATTCATACCATTCAAATAACCTAAGGAGATCAAAAATTGGACGTAAAATGAGAGAGCTTTGAACAAAACACATTAGCATGTCACTATCCGGAAGAACTTTGCCGCATGTACAACTTTGACGATGACAGTTACTTCCTGACCTTAAACTATTGCCTATACAAATAAAGGGTGTCCACGATTAAATTGCCACACTATGAAATTGCTCTAACTTTTTAACCGTTGGGTAGAATTTAATGAAAATTTGGGTGGATTTAGTTCATAGTGCATTATTTACATCCTACAAGTTTTAAAGTCCTGTGATCAAAACTCGCGGAAATGGAGTCGAAAGAACAGCTCGTGCGTGATAAAATCTTGCGCATTCATCACGAGAACAAGGATCTCTCGCATCGTTCCATCGCTAAAACGTTGGGAATCGCGAATTCCACGGTGTCGCGAGTGATTAAGCGGTTCGAGGAACGGTTGACCACCGATCGGAAGCCCAGAAGTGAAGGAAAAAGTATTTCGTACAACACCAAAAATCACAACCGCGTAGTTGGGGCCTTCAACCGAAATCCGAACGCCTCAGTTAGGGATGTGGCTAAGAAGCTGCACCTAAGCCGAAGTTTTGTCCAGAAGGCCAAAACTAAGGCTGGGCTTCGAACGTTCAAAGTACAAAAGGCCCCTAATCGCGACGAGAAGCAGAACAAGTCCGCCAAAACCCGTGCCAGGAAGTTGTACCTCAACATGCTGACGAAAGTGGAATGCTGCATCATGAACGACGAAACATATGTGAAGGCCGACTTCAAACAGATCCCCGGCAACCTATTTTTCACGGTCAAGGATAAGTTCAGCGTTCCGGAGCATGTCCGCACTCAGAAGATGTCCAAATTTGCGAAGAAATTCCTGGTTTGGCAAGCCATCTGCACGTGCGGGAAGCGGAGTGCACCTTTCGTGACCCAGGACACGATGAACGGACAGGTGTACATAAAAGAGTGCCTCCAGAAGCGGCTGCTTCCTCTCCTGAAGGCCCACAACGTCCCAACAATCTTCTGGCCGGATTTGGCCTCATGCCACTACTCCAAGGACGTGCTGAAGTGGTATGCGGACAATAAGGTCAATTTCGTGCCGAAAATGTTCAACCCTCCCAACACTCCGGAGCTCCGCCCCATCGAGAAGTACTGGGCGATTATGAAGCAGCACCTTCTTAAACGACCTAAGGTAGTGAAGACAGTCGAGGAACTGAAGAAAGCATGGGTTTACATGCAAAAAACGGTTGATTCACAGGTTGTGCAGAATCTTATGGCCGGGGTTAAGGCCAAGGTGCGGGCATTTGCGTATGGACTGTAAATAAAATACGAGTAAAATGGTAAAATGAAGATTAATAGTTATTTCTCAATCCCTGAAAATTTGATGGCAATCGGATGAAAACTCGAATTTTGCGAATCAATTTTGTGTGTGGCAATTTCATCGTGGACACCCTTTATTTTACATGCAAACTAGCGCCGCATACCGAAAATATTCTGAACTATTTACTGTTCACCAGCAAAAAAGCTTTGATCTCCTGAACAACTTTGCCGAAGACAGTAACTTTCTAGCTGTTCAAGGATCATATAGCATATATGAGGATTGCACGTGTATAGCAGCGCCGCAAAGTGAGAAAACTCTGAACTACTGTCCACCTGCGAAAAAACCTTGACCTCCTGAACAACTATGCCGAAGACAGTACCTGGTTGGGAACTCGAGATATTTTATATGAGAATTTCACGTGTATACTAGCGTAGCGTAGTGAGTAAATTCTGAACTATTGAGCACCAAGCAATAGGATTTGACCTCCTGAAAAACTTTGTGAAAGACAATAACTTTCTATCTGGTCAGGATCTCGAGATATATCACATGTATACTAGCGCTACGTAGTGAGAAAATTCTAAACTACTGTCCGCCAGCGACAAGGCTATGAGCTCCTGAACAACTTTGTCGGAGACAGTAGCTTTCTATATGGTCAGGATCTTGATATATTCCATGTTGTAATCAATGAAGTCAAATCCCACGTAGTATGGCCACAGTTTACGCAGTTTCCATTTACATTTTCTCTATTATCCGCATTTTAGGTGTTTACTGTAATCAAAGCTTAGCTTGTTTCGATCAAAACAAGTTTTTTGAGGAATACTCGTTGGTTTCAGATCGATGGGTAACTCAGCAACAAATTGCCAATGGAAAACTCATGTATGTTGTACAAAGTACAACAACGCGAGTAACGGAGGGTTAAGGAAGTTCAAGATTTTCTTGCATCGTTCGACTCGTAGCTCCCGGATGTACGCTGCCACTTCTTCATGGTGTAACTGTCAAACTAAGTAAATCATTTTCTTTTATACGCAGCCTACTACGGGAACCTTATTTTTTGTACGATGGTGCAAACATTATCACGCATGTATGGGCAATTTGTACCTACGGGAACGAATGTAGAATTTATTCCTCGCTGACCGTTTCTAACAGCTAGGAATTAGTACTTGGTCGGGAACGTGGAGCGTTTCCTACCTGGCGCTTAGATCGAGATTGTAGAATCGCTTTTTACGAGTCTTACATTCCCAAAAATTGGTTTTGTGGTTTTTACCACAATTTAAACATATAATTTCCTAGGATCTTCCATCACAGCAATTTCTTTGATTATTTTGTTCAGCCCTTAGTCAATTTTGAAAGATTTTCGAAATGGGTTTTTAGAAGAAAAAAAAATGTAAGACCTGCAGCTGAATTCCGGGCATAGATTTCATTGAAGAGAAATAAGTTTCACCATATAAGGTATATGTTGAAATTTATTTCTCTTCGAGATTTTCTTTAGCTTCTGAGACTTCAAACAATAAAAGACAATTTAATGGCGTCCACCATATACTTCCCATGGAAACCCGTCCTTGCTTGAAATAGGCAGTTCAGCTAATCATCTTCCCTTTTTATCCGCACAGAATTGGATGACTTCCTGCAGGAGATGGACGAAGACGTCGAGGGCATGCAGAGCACAATCGTGTTCCTTCAGCAGGAGCTGAAGCACACCAAGGACGACAAGGAAGTGCTCGAGAAGGAGGTCCTTCAGCTGCGATCATACGTCAACGGGGGAGGGGACGATGGTGCGGCGCCAACCCGGATGGAAACCGACCCCGTCAGCACCACCACCGCCGCCGCCGCCGCCGTCGCCGTCGATCCCTCGTCTCTAGCGTCGTCGTCAGTTTATCTAGTGAACGGGAGTAATAGTAACAAGTTGAAGCAAAGTTCAAGTGATCAATCAGAATCGTTGTTGGTGTATCAGAATCGGACGCACTGTGGTGGCAATACAAATAGCAATTCTGAAATGTTGAACGGTGGTGATGATTTAGTTAATGAACAAGAACAAACGATCGGCGGCAGCATCAATAGCAGCAGTAGACTTAGCGGTAACACTACTAGTACTGGTAATAATGGTAAGAAAGTAAACAATCGGACTGCTAAAACGGTTGGTGGCAAAAAGCGAAACTACGCGGAAGATCCAGACGACGACGGGGCTGCGGGGGCCGAGGATGAAGAGGACAGTGGTCATTACGAGGATAATGGTAAGATCGTCGAACAGCAGCAACAGCAGCAGCCGCATGAGGAGGAACAGATCCTCACCAGCAGCAATAAGCGCATGACGCGATCAGGTAAGGGTAAGACCGTGCCTAAAGTAAGCGTAAAGAAACTGCGACGGGCGTCGGTACTGTCGGCCGATCCGTCGGCGGAGGACGACGACGCGGCCGAAGGATTTGCTGCCAACGGTGCGAACTGAGAATCCCACCTCTAAAAAAAATACCGTCATCTCCTTCCTCGTAGGGACGAAGTGAACCGGCGACAACTGACTCCTTCTTTTTGGGGTAGCGTACTCTTCGTGAAATAGGTTTTTTACTAATCTAAAGCACGCTGTCCTGAAGAAAAAAAAAATAAAAACCGAAACAGGCTAGAATTAAGATGAACAGCTGAAAACGGAACATAAACCCTTCTATAAATCCTTGATGAAGAAGAAGAAAAAAATCACTCAAGAAACACATTGAAATTAGAACTCTTGGTAAGCTAAGCTACAATAATAATTATTGTACATTTTCTTTTTGAGGAAACACGATTAGGGAGAATTGAAACCGAAGAACAATACGCGAGCGAAACTAATCATACACACCCAACCCACACATAAAAGTACATTATGAATAGAAACAATCGCGCTCGGACTCCGTCTAGCAACCAAGAACGGTTCACCGGTGGGGACGAGAAAACGAAAACTATATACCTAACTAATATTGAACATAGTGAAGCAGACAAGAAACAACAACATCGTAAACAATACAGTGGATGATTTTTCTTTTTCTTTTTCGTTTGTCCAACAACAACAACGTTTTTAGACAGCTAAGGAAGTGTAATTTTAATACTGTAAATCAAGCAACATAATAAGAAAGTTCACAGCAAAAAAAACAACCAACAACAATGTGTAATTTAAATTATTTCGAGAAAAAAAAAATAGAGTTAAATTATTCATAACCCGCGCTTGTTTCAATTGGATTTTCTCCGAAAGTGACCCAAACCAAGCCTGACACGTTTATGCTAAGGACCTTTATTTACTCTATTCAATTATTCAATCAGCAACCGTATTCTCAATGATGAAAGCCCGCGCGAGGTTTCGAGCACAGGCCAACCGAAGCATTTTGACCAAATCGTCGGTGCAGTTGTTCAACAGGTTAGACGAGAACTTCGGCAGCAGGGCTTGGTTGTCGATGTCGGCGTCCGGGTCACCGGACTGGGGCTTCTTACAGCTCTTCAGTTGTTCTTTCCTTTTCTCCATCATTGGAACCAGGTCCCACTCGAGGTGATGCAGGATGGTGTAGGTTTCCTTGGTCGGGATGACGGGTTCCTTGTGCTCCAGCAGCGGGATGGTGTCGGCCAGCAGAGATGGCCAGAAGCTGGAAGAAAATTGGAGGGGATTTTGATTGGTGCATCCTTTTCAATAGAATGACTGTTAATGTTACACTGAAGATTAGGCAGAGGACTTAAATAAATAAATAACAATAATAGACTATATAGGGGAAATGACGGCTTCGGCATGACAGACTATTTTCGGCAACACAAATTGAAACACTATTTTCACTGGATTTTCTTACGAAAACACTTCGCTGAATGCATGCAAACGATTCTTTATGCTTTCAGCTTCAATTTGACTATATTTTTACCACTCAGAAAAAGAAATCTAGCAAGGTTTTCTTGAAATGCAACACACGCACTACAAATTGTAGCTGATTTCGAGTTGCCGATAATAGAACAGCAGATTTACATGCAGTTCAAATGGAACGGTTGCCGAAGAAAAACTGGTTGCCGACAATACTCGCTCTCACTAGAGAAGATTGGAGCTTTGTAAAAGCGTTTCAAAACAGTTTTTGACAATTCTTTCGACTGAAATTGTTAGAGCAGCTGGCAGCAAAAGATTGTAAACAAACCAATACTGCATATGTGTGCGTTTCTTAGAGAAAAAGGCTATAGAAAGAAGGTCGCTGCTTAGGTTGCCGTCCCCTAGCAGTTCCACGCCAAAATTTAATTTAATGACGAATCGATCCGATTTAACCAAAAGTTGCAGTTGGTGTTTGTCGTCCAAGGTGTCCAATAGTTCAAAAGTTTGCATTTTTCATAATTGTAACCCTCTGAAAGCAAAATTGACTGGTTTTATGTGTCATGCACAAGGGGTAACTCATTCTGCCACCTTGTGTTCAACACTGCAAAAACACAGTTCGCCACAATCCAAACACACTTCCACCAACATTTTCGATTAATTCTGGCACCACTTCCATGACTGTTTACATTCGATTTTTATGTTTATAAACAGTAGTTTAACGTATAGTCGCTATATTCATAGTCTGGCGGATAGAATCTCGGGAACCAATTTAGCTGTCAAATAGCGGAACCAATGAAGCAAATCACGACCAACAACAGAAAAGAGCACATCAACTATTGCGAACACAATTTCGAAAACCGTTTTCTCGTGACTCAAAGCTCACAAACTAACACAATATTTAGGTTGTGGAAAGTTTTCCCCTATCAGATGCTGCTGGTAATTTACCTTCGATTGGGCGAGGAAAGAATAATCAACGTTTTGTTTATAAAATTTAATGGTACCTTTTCAATTGTTGGTCTACAATATATTGAATTGTTTCCGCTTTTTGATAGATCGAAATTTTATCTGCCAGACTATGAATATAGCGACTATAGTTTAGCGTCTACGACAAATTTAAAATTTAATGATTTTCCAATAAGAGTAAAGAGTAACACAATTATGTGTTACTCTTTACTCTTATTGGAAAATCATAGAAGCAACTGATATGCGTAAATCATTATGGATTGTTCCTTACCTTTTCACTTTAGTGAAAAAGCCTAAAAGGCTCTGTGCATGAAAATTTTATTTTTAATAATTTACAATATAATTATAAAACCAGCGGACTGAATTATTTTACACCAGCAGAACCTTGAATATACACTGCAAATAAAATTCACGTAATATTCACCTGAAAAGGTGCGTAAATATTTTCCATCGTACTTATCAGGTGAATATTACGTGTTTTGGGAATGAAATGTTGTTTCAAGTGATTCATATGAAAATCAAGTGATTTTCACGTAAATTTTATCGGACGTTCCGATGATCGTCAAATTAGCTTCACTTAAAAGTTACGTGAATTGTTTATTAATCGTCACTGGATTTTGTAGTAATATTTATGTGAATTTGTGGTATGTTTCATGTGTTATGTCATCCGGATTTTTTTTTAATAAAATTTAACTTATTTGTTGAATTTTTACTTTATTATAATCTCATAAAATTGTTCTTTTTAGTAACTATCGTGAGTATCAAACCTATTCTTAAATCTATACCCAGTGCAACAGGTTGTTGTTAAGTTGATCGTTCTGCATTTGTTTGCTCCTCAATGCTCTATAATAATTGCTGCTTCTGAATAAAGTTAAAGTTGGTTATTGGTTTATTTAAAACATTAAGTTTGATCCTTACATTTATTTTCCTCCATTAACTGATGACTTCGAAAAGGACATCATGTCTCCAATAGACGTCTTTTTGTTGTAAGCACTCCTGTAGTTCGGCGATTAAGCTTGTGAGGACTGCTCAATCCGATTTTACGCTCTTCAATTTATTTTGGGTATTGAAAATCAGGATTCATATATTGATATTAATCAAACTTACGCTCACAAACATTAAAAATCCCCAATCTCCTAGTAACAAAAATCACATATTTTCAACCGGCGCCATTTTGAACTAACAAATACGCAAAAACAGTTTTCACATCACGAGGTCACTTAAAATTTACGTGAACTTCACTTAACATTTATCTGTATAACACTTGAACTCCATCAGTGAATCTAGTGGAATTCATTACCATGCCATTGATATTTATGTGCAGCATGTAATTCTTATTGGATTTCTATTTTTGAAAGGTTACCTGATTTTTCAGGTGAAATTTACGTCTCGTTAGTTCAGTGTAACAAAACCCGTCCATCTGCGTCCGTCCATATGCCTTGATTTTTTCTCGAAATGGAAGAGGTATATAAGCTTCGATTCAGGTGATATCTGTAATGTGTAGACCTGCGGAAAAGGACACGAAGTTTACTACGGCCGAAAATGTGGATGGTGCATTCAGTAAAGGGCGAACACGAAATTATTGCGACACATTCAACAGGGCCTAACTTTTTTACCATTGGGTAAAAATCAACCAAATTTTGCACACTTTCTCATTGATGTGTATTGTGTACATGCTGTCAAACTCGAAGTCGTGTTTTTCGATTCAACGAAAATGGAGGTGAACCAACGCGAGTTGAGAGAACAAATTCTTTCCAAACACCTGGAATTTCCTGACCTGTCGCACCGGCAGCTGGGAAAAATGTTGAACATTCACCATTCAACCGTCTCCAGAGTGTTGAAGCGGTTCCAGGAGCGGTTGACGTTGGACCACGGCAAAGGAGCTAGAAGAAAACCGGGACCGGAGAACAAAAAGACGGAGGGGAAGGTGAAGCGGAAGCAAATCCCAACGTCTCAAGCCGTGATTTGGCTAAAAAGATCGGCATGTCGCGTCCAGAATGCAAAGAAGAGAGCTGGACTACATACATACAAGGTACAGAACTTCCCAAACCGCGATGAGCGGCAACAATCGACGGCTAAAACTCGGGCACGGAAGCTCTACGAGAAGATGCTGACAAAATATGGCTGCTGTGTGATGGACGACGAAACGTATATAAAAGCCGATTTTAAGCAAATTCCGGGGTTGAAGTTTTTCACCGGCAGAAGCAAGTTCGATGTGGACGACAAATTTAAGAAGAAGAAAATGTCGAAGTTCGCCTCCAAATATCTCATTTGGCAGGCCATCTGCTCTTGCGGACTGAGGAGTGAGCCTTTCGTGACAAAAGGCACAGTAAATGGCGAGATCTACAAATCTGAGTGCCTCGAGAAGCGCCTTTTGCCGTTCTTGCAGCAGCACGACGAAGCTCCGCTATTTTGGCCAGATTTGGCATCATGTCACTATTCTAAAAGTGTCCTGGAGTGGTATGAGGCCAATTCTGTCCATTTTGTTCCAAAGGACATGAATCCGCCAAACTGTCCGGAGCTGCGCCCGGTGGAGCAGTACTGGGCAATAATACCGGTACCGGATGACACTGTAAAGACTTTGATGGAGGGCATCAAGCGAAAATGCCATCGATTAACTGTTCTTTTGATTTTTGAAGTAAATATATGTATAAAACTACCCTAAAATTTTGGTTTGATTCTAAACATTATAAGAAAATTGGCATGACATTTTCGGTGTCGCAATAATTTCGTGTTCGCCCTTTAGAGAAGAAGCCGCGGAGTTCCTTGCACCTTCCGCCTACAACTAAATGGAACATTTCTTAATATCAGAAAATCATACGTCCTCTGGTTGCTGTCAGCGGGTTGACTCAAACGATCTAGTGATCGGCTACAGTCAGTATCTTATGGGAATTTTCGGTGCAGTGAAAGGATAATAAAAAGTCCCCCATGTATCACGTACAGTCTGACGTTTTCTATTGAACTTTACCATAAGAGTAAAGAGTTACAGAGTGGAAAACGACGCACGACACCGCTTCACGTAAAGGTTAATGGTTCCACGGTTTCCGATCCGGAAACGGTAGCTGATGAACTCGGTACCTACTTCGCCGAGCTCGCAACCATTTACAAGTATGACAACAAGTTCAAGCAGAAAACCAAGCAATCGACCGCATCCATCGCAGACTTCATAGTACCCCCCGACACCGCCAGTACCGGTATAAATCAAGCTTTGTCTTGGCAGGAACTCCGCATGCCCTTCGTTACAGCAACGGGAAGTCGGCGGGAAGGCTACCGGTACCAGGACAGCTTCGGATGCTAGACCTTTTCAGCAAGCTATGGCTCACTAACGGGTACCCAGCAGTATGGAAGGAAAGCTTGGTAGTTCCCATCCCGAAAGCCGGGGTAGCCACCCGTGAAGTCAGCAAGTTCCGTCCAATAGCGCTAACATGATGTATGGCCAAAGTCCTAGATCGTATGGTCAATCGAAGACTGAAGCAACACCTCGAAGCTGGAAATTTCTTTGATGACCGACAGCACGCTTTCCGACAAGGTTTTGGAACATCACCCTATTTCACAACCCTAGGGGAAGTTCTCAAGAACGCCTACGACAGTGGTCTGCACACTGAGATGGTATCGCTCGACATATCGAAGGCCTTCAACAGAACGTGGACGCCCCTCGGCCTTAAGCAACTAATCGACTGGGGTCTTAACGGACCCATCGTTCACTTCATCCAGAACTTCTTGTCCAACCGCTCATTCCGAGTCGCAGTCGGCAACACCAATTCCCGGCTTTTCCCCGAGGAAACGGGTGTCCCACAAGGATCGGTTATCGCCGTTACCCTGTTCCTCGTGGCG